ACCGTTAGTAGAGGCTGGGCAGGGGGGTATAAAAGGAGAGCGGGACAACATACCCAGGGGTTGGGAATTAATATGGGAGGAAGATCCCTGGACAGGGAGATGTGAAAAGGTGAGGGTGCCTCGAGAAGAGGCTGATTACAGGCGACGAAGAGGTTTGCCCCCCCCCAAACCATCCTACTGGGGAGAATCGGAAGCCAGGGAGTGGTGGAGGCGGTTGAGAGAGGAGAAAGAAGCGGTGGAGAGGGAGGAACCAGAGAGGAGAGCATGGCGTCTGGAGGAGGCTTGCGGGAGGAGGCATTTACTAGACCTTGGGACCCCTATGCAGAGGGAGCAGACCTCTATGACCATGAGAGGGGAGATGAGGAGACCTTACCCGTGATTGATGTGGACATTGATGCTAAGGAACTGGGTGAGACTAACCCGTTCTCTAAAGGACCCTGGTATGGTCCAAATTTCAACCCCTTTTTACAAGATGTATGGACACCCTTGTTTAACCCGTTGGCGACGAGAGAAAAGAGTAATGACAAGTTCAATGTTGATACCTCTTTATTTGATGTTCCAATAAATCCTAGTTGTTTTTCAAAAAACTGAGCATCCTGTATTTGTGTCCAACAAGCCTGAGGTTACCATTGAACCCTCACAGTAACCTAAAGATTCATCCATATATCTGATCATCCGCTTCGTATCAGAGATAGTACGGTGTCAGAAGTATACTCTGAGGTCTTATTTAGCACCAGTTTCAATCTGATGGGACTAATTCAAAGGACTAATTGTGGATACTTTGAAGCAAAGTAAGATCAAGGAATAAGCAAGCAAAATGGAGCTACTTGGATGCAGGACAAATTTTCTGTGACTGTGGAGAAATTCAATCAATGCAGCATTTACGTGCATGCAAGTTAAGACCCACAACATGTACAAAAGAAGATCTAACAAATAGCCTAGGTAACACTATTGAAGTAGCTCACTTCTGGTCAAAAATAATTATTATTTTAATATTTTAAATTGTTTTCAGTTTTACATATCTCATGTTTCTCCCTAATTTTAAACTATGTGACCCTTTATATGAATAAATAAAGAAGAATAAACAAGGCCTAAAACCTCAGAAGGGTGGCATTCTTTGCTTTCCATCAACTGCACAACTTGTGGAGACTGATTAATAATGGCACATCATTGGGCTCGCCACACAAGGGAAATAATAACTCTCTCGTATTGCTGTTAAAGCAGAAATATTTGCTTCCTAGAAAGCACAGTCACTTACGGTCTTTGGGGATTCTGTTCTCTATGTTGATTTTGTTAATCTTTTCTTCCTCCTAAAAATTAGCAAGACAGTTTTTTTAGAGCGATCGTTATCTTTCAGTAGTGACCCATTTCATTTCAGGCCAGCATCTCTACAAAAGACCACCCGCACCTGATTCAAACGGAAGAGTGCGCTAGGCTGCTGGGCAACAGTCCCTCCCTTGTATCCTCTAAGCCCCATTACATCTTTTCTTTTATTTAACCTTGGCATTTTTCTTTCTTTTTTAAAACCCTAAGTATTGATCTTTCTTTGCAATGTTTAAATATCCAGCTGTGGAGCCAGAGGTTGGGAGTTCGATTCCCCACTGTGCCTCCTAGGAGACGAGCCAGCCTGGGTGGCCTTGGGCAAGCTGCAGAGTCCCAGGCTGTCCCCAGAAGAAGAGAAGAGTCAATCACTTCTATGTATTCTCTACCTGGAAAACCCTGGAAAGGATCATCACAAGTCAGAATTGACTTAACGGCACATGATTATTACTAATTATGTCTTACCTGCCGCTTTCAACAAGCCTGCCTTTTGTAATGAATACTTTGCATTTGTTTAGCAAAGTTCAAGGGATAAAATGCTTCCCTACCAACCCCAAAATTTATCCTTTCACATGCGACAAGTGTTGGTGTGAGAATACAAATGGATGAGACTGCTAACTTGATCCAAAACCGCTACTACCATTCTTAGCTGCTGGGCTTCATAAGCTCACAACAGACAAATTGCAGTATGATGTAGGAAAGCAATACAGCACCATACACCATGCATGCATTTTCTTCTGCTTTTAAAATAAGGAGGAAGTCAAGAAGATGGCAGCTACAGTGATCCAAAGAGGCAGCAATGGAACGGAATTTGAGAACATCTGAACTTCGAAGATGTTTTAAAATATCTGTGTCCTTCCATATTTGCTTCCAGTTCCATCCCCTTTTTTTCTGCCTCCAGAGGAATCCCCCCCCCCAACTGTTCCTGCTCATCAGCATGTGGGAAAGAATGAGGTAGGAAACAACTGGTACAGATTCAGGGCCTCGATCCAAATTTTCAGTGTTGTTTAAAAACAAGAGTATGAGCTGCTTTAAAACAGTGTGGATTTGATTTAAATCAAATCGATGTAACTCACAACTTATATCATGATTTACATTTTTTTAATTCAATCTTTTTTTACAATTGTAATTTTTTAAAATCATTTTTATTTAAATCATGATTTAAATTGATATATATTTTTTTAAAATCCACGCTGCTTTAACAACAAAAACAGACCTGCCTAGTTTATTTTAGGGACTTTATTGTTGGTAGGTAGGTAGGTATACTTTATTACGGTCAAAGACCAGTACTTTATTGTTGTTATTTCTTAAAATAACTTCATGTTATAGCACAGGCCAAAAGAATCCATCCTTTCTTTTACCTCTCCACTGAAAAAGCAATGGTACAATGACCACTTATAACAACAGCTGCTCTTTGTGGGGTGGAGGGGAACCAATCAAGAGCCCCCCCCCCAAGGCCCTCTCTCTCATTCAGAAATGAGAATTGTGCTCCTGGAAGCCCCCTGCTTTATCCTGCAGAAGGAGGTGTGCCTTTTTCTTGCAGAAAATCTCTTTGTCTATTAAAGGAAGGGCTTCTTCACATGGTGGGTTGGTATTTCTCTTCAAGAAACAAACAAACAAACAGGTCCCGGGAGCCCAGGGGTTGCCCACCCTTAGTGTGAAGATAAAGAACTGGCCAGAAACTTAACAATGCTCCTAAGCTATAATCGCACAGAGGTGAGATGCTCTGAAACACTATGAGAAACACCTTACCTCTATTCATTGCTGAGTTTACAGTACTAGCCAAGCAACACACAGGCACGTACCGTGTTTTCCCGAAAATAAGAGAGAGTCTTATATTAATTTTTGTTCCAAAAAACACATTAGGACTTATTTTCAGGGGATGGTTTTTTCATGTATCTTCTGGTTGCTGTACAAGGTTGGAGGGCAGGGTTTCACTTAACTGGGGCTTATTTTTGGGGTAGGGCTTATATTACGAGCATCCTGAGAAATCGTACTAGGGCTTATTGTCAGGTTAGGTCTTATTTTCGGGGAAACAGGGTATATATATCAGCTTCATTCCTCACAGCCATCACTGGCTAGGTTTTACCTTGGCTTTCAGCTCCATCTCAGCATCTGACTCGTCCAACCAGCGGTCAAAATCAGGAGCAAGAAACAGAGGCCGCTTCTCCTGCTTGGTCAGCCGTTCCCACCAGAGGCTCTCCTCCTTCTTGACTGTGAGGTTCAGCTGCCTCTGGGTCACTTTACAGATGAGCTGAAAGAATGTACAACAGCAACGTGCCATTGGAAACAGGGACTTATTCTATGGAAAGTCATTTTACTGGAAACTTTGAATACATCCATCTCCAGGGTACTAATCTGAAAGCTTTTTTGAATTTTTATTATTTAAAACAAAACAAAGCACATCTCTCCTGTTCAGGCATGCTGTATTGTTCAGCAGATGGCCAATGGGTGGCAGCAGGCGGCAGCTTTCATTATTCAAGTCACACACAGATACAACTGTCAGTAAGGAAAGCCAGTGTGGAGAAAATGAAGGATTAGTTCATTTACTAGAGGGGCGGGGTAAAAGGCAAATAATAAATAAATAATTTTAAAATATATATTTTAATTATTAATTTATTACTAATTAAATTATTATTAGTAATTATTATTTTAATTTTTATTATTTTTAATAATAAAATAACAATTTTAAATAGTTAAATAGTATTTACAGTGGTACATCGACTTAAGAACGTCCCTAGTTGCAAATGATTTGAGTTACGAACGGCTCTGTTCGCAAACTTCGACCTGCGAACGGAGCCTCGACTTATGAACCAAAAAAAGAAGGGGAAAAAACCCTTTCCTGCCCTTCACTTTAGCTCAAAAGAAAAAAAAAATTCACCCCCTAGTGGTGGAGTACAGATTAGCCCGCTTTCCATTAGTTTCTTTGGGAACTAAATCCTCTACAGCAGTGGTCTCCAACCTTGGGCCTCCAGATGTTCTTGGACTTCAGCTCCCAGAAATCCTGGCCAGCAGAGGTGGTGGTGAAGGCTTCTGGGAGTTGTAGTCCAAGAACATCTGGAGGCCCAAGGTTGGGGACCACTGCTCTACAGTACCTACGAACAGTGCCTCGACCTACGAACGGAAAATAGCAGATATGGATTACAGTGGTGCCTCGCTTAATGATTACCTTGTTAAATGACGAATCTGC